ACACACTTACACACACGTACACACACTTACACATACACACTTACACATACACACACTTACACATACACACTTACACACACTTACACACTTACACACACTTACACACACTTAGACACACTTACACACACTTACACACACTTACACACACTTAGACACACTTACACACACTTAGACACACTTACACACACTTACACACACTTACACACACACAACAACAACAACAACCGCCATTCGCCACGAAGTGGCGGTGACGTCACCACGATGCTTGTGCCAGGCCAAGTGCACCTTGAGGCCACGTGAAGTGTCGACAGCCCGCTGGCAGGAGGTCACGGGGCAGACCCAGCAGGTGCCACGGGTCGACTGACCGAGATGACCGAGATGACTGGCTGATGCACCACCTGTGCCCCCTACTGTGCCAACTTGCTGTGCTTTAGCCACCCGGCGCTCCGCTCGTTGTTGTGAGCGTCGCTCCTCCGCCCTCCGTTGTTGTTGGAGGGCGACTGCCTCCAACTGCCCAGTAGCGTCCTTCACGAGCCTCCTCCACTGAGGCCGATCTTGACACCGCTGGTACCAGTCATCGGCAAGTCCACTCAGCTCCACGTCCTCCTGTACCACATCACTCCATCTCTTCTCCAGCCCGTGCCGCGCCCGTCTAGCCCCCTCGATCCGGCCGAACAAAAGCTGTTTAGGCATGCGGTGGCTGGGCATGCGGGCTACATGACCCAGCCAACGCAGCCTTGCCTGCCGGAGGAGCTCACTGATGGGACTTTGCCCAGATCTTTCAAGGATTTGTGAGCTCCTCACACAATCCAGCCTGGTTAAACCCAGGATGGATCGTAGGCAGGCCAGCCTAAATGTTTCCAACCGGCGAAGATGCTCCACCAGGGGGGTCCACGTCTCGCAAGCGTAGAGAAGGGAGGGAATGACCGTGGCCGAGAAGACCTGAAGCTTCGTGCGGAGCGACAGACCAGGTAGCTTCCACACAGCGTTACGCAACCGATGAAAAGATATTGCCGCTCGACTGATTCGGAGTGAGACCTCTGCTGATAGACTGGAGCCGGTCATAAGCACACTGCCCAGGTATGGGAAACTCTCCACTCTCTCCACAACTGCCCCATCACCAATTGGGAGTTGTGGGGGTGGAGTGTCCGATGGTACAAAATACCCAGGCAGGTGCTTAGTTTTGGTGGGGCTGATGGTAAGGCCCCACCTCTTAGTGGCACGCTCCAGTCTCAGCAGCAGCGTCTCCAACTCCTCCTCTGAGTGAGCAGCTATTACCAAATCATCGGCATACATAACGTGGTTGACCAATAGGGAGCCATCCCTTGATCGCACCCGGGCGTCGATCAGCCTCCCATTATATCTGTACCAAATGGAAATTCCCCCGGTACAGCTATTGAAGGCTTCACGAACTACGCGGTCAAAATAGATGTTAAATAATGTGGGAGCCAGAGGACATCCCTGTCGCACCCCAAGGTGTACAGGGAAAGGCTCCGACTCCCGGCCACGTAGTTTTACCCGGGCCCGCTCACCATCATGAAGGTCCTTAATGATCGTGAGCAGAGGGTCAGGGACTCCGAAAGCACGAAGAACAACCCAGAGCCCAGGCCTACTGATGGTATCATAGGCCTTGACCAGGTCAATAAAGCAGAGATGTAGGTCTTTTTGGAATTCCCTACACCTCTGCTGTAGCAGACGGACAGAAAATATGGCATCTGTGCAGGACCGCCCTTTCCTGAAACCGCATTGGGGCTCCGCAAGCCTCTCCTCAGCGTGCCTAGCAAGGCGATGTTGAATAATCCTTGCCAGGACCTTACCCGGCACACTGAGGAGTGAGATGCCCCTGTAGTTGTTACAGTCGGTACGGTCCCCCTTCTTAAAGAGGGGAACCACCAGGGCATCCTTCCAGTCCTGCGGAACCCGTCCAGTGGTCCAGACTGTTGTTATGATGTCATATAGGGCAGTCTGTGCACAAACGCCACCCTCCCTCAGCATTTCGCTTGGGAGATCATCTCTGCCCGATGCCTTCCCTGGTCTCAGACTCCGGATCGCCCTCAGTACTTCCTTACACACACACACACACTTACACACACACACTTACACACACTTACACACACTTACTTACACACACTTACACACACTTACACACACACACACTTACACACACACACTTACACACACTTACACACACACACTTACACACACTTACACACACTTACACACACACACACACACTTACACACACTTACACACACACACTTACACACACTTACACACACTTACACACACTTACACACTTACACACACTTACACACACTTACACACTACACAACACTTACACACACTACACACACACAACTTACAACACACTTACACACACACACTTACACACATTACACACACTTACACACACTTACACACTTACACACACCTACACACACTTACACACACTTAGACCACACTTCCACACACACACTTACACACACTTACACACACACACTTACACACACTTACACACACACACCTTACACACACTTACACACACACACTTACACACACACTTACTTACACACACTCACACACACTTACCACACCTACACACTTACACACACTTACACACACACACTTACACACACCTACACACACACTTACACACACACTTACACACACACACACACACACACACACACTTACACACACTTACACACACCTACACACCTACACACACACTTACACACATACACACTTACACACACTTACTTACACACTTACACACACTTACATACACCTACCTACACACTTACACACACACACTTACACACACTTACACACTCACACTTACACACACACACTTACACACACTTACACACACACACTTACACACACACACTTACACACACTTACACACACACACTTACACACACACACTTACACACACTTACTTACACACTTACACACACTTACACACACTTACACACTTACACACACACACTTACACACACTTACACACACTTACACACACACACTTACACACACTTACACACACTTACACACACACACTTACTCACACACACTTACACACACACACTTACACATACACACTTACACACACTTACACACACACACTTACTTACACACACTCACACACACTTACACACACCTACACACTTACACACACACACTTACACACACTTACACACACTTAGACACACTTACACACACACACTTACACACACTTACACACACTTACACACACTTACACACACACAACAACAACAACAACAACCGCCATTCGCCACTAAGTGGCGGTGACGTCACCACGATGCTTGTGCCAGGCCAAGTGCACCTTGAGGCCACGTGAAGTGTCGAAAGCCCGCTGGCAGGAGGTCACGGGGCAGACCCAGCAGGTGCCACGGGTCGACTGACCGAGATGACCGAGATGACTGGCTGATGCACCACCTGTGCCCCCTACTGTGCCAACTTGCTGTGCTTTAGCCACCCGGCGCTCCGCTCGTTGTTGTGAGCGTCGCTCCTCAGCCCTCCGTTGTTGTTGGAGGGCGACTGCCTCCAACTGCCCAGTAGCGTCCTTCACGAGCCTCCTCCACTGAGGCCGATCTTGACACCGCTGGTACCAGTCATCGGCAAGTCCACTCAGCTCCACGTCCTCCTGTACCACATCACTCCATCTCTTCTCCAGCCCGTGCCGCGCCCGTCTAGCCCCCTCGATCCGGCCGAACAAAAGCTGTTTAGGCATGCGGTGGCTGGGCATGCGGGCTACATGACCCAGCCAACGCAGCCTTGCCTGCCGGAGGAGCTCACTGATGGGACTTTGCCCAGATCTTTCAAGGATTTGTGAGCTCCTCACACAATCCAGCCTGGTTAAACCCAGGATGGATCGTAGGCAGGCCAGCCTAAATGTTTCCAACCGGCGAAGATGCTCCACCAGGGGGGTCCACGTCTCGCAAGCGTAGAGAAGGGAGGGAATGACCGTGGCCGAGAAGACCTGAAGCTTCGTGCGGAGCGACAGACCAGGTAGCTTCCACACAGCGTTACGCAACCGATGAAAAGATATTGCCGCTCGACTGATTCGGAGTGAGACCTCTGCTGATAGACTGGAGCCGGTCATAAGCACACTGCCCAGGTATGGGAAACTCTCCACTCTCTCCACAACTGCCCCATCACCAATTGGGAGTTGTGGGGGTGGAGTGTCCGATGGTACAAAATACCCAGGCAGGTGCTTAGTTTTGGTGGGGCTGATGGTAAGGCCCCACCTCTTAGTGGCACGCTCCAGTCTCAGCAGCAGCGTCTCCAACTCCTCCTCTGAGTGAGCAGCTATTACCAAATCATCGGCATACATAACGTGGTTGACCAATAGGGAGCCATCCCTTGATCGCACCCGGGCGTCGATCAGCCTCCCATTATATCTGTACCAGATGGAAATTCGCCCGGTACAGCTATCGAAGGCTTCACGAACTACGTGGTCAAAATAGATGTTAAATCATGTGGGAGCCAGAGGACATCCCTGTCGCACCCCAAGGTGTACAGGTAATGGCTCTGACTCCTGGCCACATAGTTTTACCCGGGCCCGCTCACCATCATGAAGGTCCTTCATGATCGTGAGCAGAGGGTCAGGGACTCCGAAAGCACGAAGAACAACCCAGAGCCCAGGCCTACTGATGGTATCATAGGCCTTGACCAGGTCAATAAAGCAGAGATGTAGGTCTTGTTGGAATTCCCTACACCTCTGCTGTAGCAGACGGACAGAAAATATGGCATCTGTGCAGGACCGCCCTTTCCTGAAACCGCATTGGGGCTCCGCAAGCCTCTCCTCAGCGTGCCTAGCAAGGCGATGTTGAATAATCCTTGCCAGGACCTTTCCCGGCACACTGAGGAGTGAGATGCCCCTGTAGTTGTTACAGTCGGTGCGGTCCCCCAGGTTACCTTTGTAACCTGTGAAGGCTGTTAATGAATAGAGTGCCTCTACTCCACGTGTCTCCGAGTCAGTCACTACACATGGACACCATTAGCAGTGGACACCAAACTTAGCAGACACAGCGCTAATCCCCACACAACGAACACACACACACACAGAGACACACACACAGACACACACACAGAGACACACACACAGACACACACACAGAGACACACACACATAACACACACACAGACACACACACATAGACACACAGACACACACACATAGCACAGACACACACACATAGACACACAGACATAGACACACACACACACATAGACACACACACACACACATAGACACACGCACAATAGACACACACACACAGACACACACACAATAGACACACACACACAGACACACACACACAGACACACACAGACACACACACACACAGAAACACACACACATAGACACACACACATAGACACACACACATAGACACACACAGACACAGACACACACACACAAGAGACACACACACACACAGAAACACACACACATAGACACACACACATAGACACACACACACAGACACACACAGACACACACAGACACACACACACAAGAGACACACACACAAGAGACACACACACACACAGAAACACACACACATAGACACACACACACAGACACACACACAATAGACACACACACACAGACACACACACAATAGACACACACACACAGACACACACAGACACAGATACACACACACAAGAGACACACACACACACAGAAACACACACACATAGACACACACACATAGACACACACACACCATTGTACAATGCACAACACAGACAATCAGTGAGAATCACACTCACACACGGTGACGCTCACACACGGTGACACGCACGGTGAGCGTGGGGGTGAGCTTGGGGGTGAGCGTGGGGGTGAGCGTGGGGGTGAGCGGCGTGTGTCTCACCGTGCGGCCCTGCAGGCTGGGCGGGGTGGACGTGTACACCATGGACGGAAAGGCCCTCCTGTCCAGCGTCTGCATGCCCTGCGAGACCGTGCGTACAGACAGCCAGACAGTTAGACAGCCCGAAAGACAGACAGTCAGCCCGACAGACAGACAGCCCGATAGCCTGACAGACAGCCAGACAGACAGACAGCCCGATAGACAGACAGACAGCCCGACAGACAGACAGCCCGACAGACAGACAGCCCGACAGACAGACAGCCCGACAGCCCGACAGACAGACAGACAGCCCAATAGACAGACAGCCTGACAGACAGACAGCCTGACAGACAGCTCGATAGACAGACAGCCTTACAGACAGACAGACAGCCTGACAGACAGACAGCCCGACAGACAGACAGCCCGACAGACAGACAGACAGCCCGATAGACAGCCCGACAGACAGACAAACAGCCCGATAGACAGACAGACAGCCTGACAGACAGACAGCCTGACAGACAGCCCGATAGACAGACAGCCTGACAGACAGACAGCCTGACAGACAGACAGCCCGACAGACAGCCCGACAGACAGACAAACAGAGAGCCAGACAGACAGACAGACAGCCCGACAGACAGCTTGACAGCCAGACAGACAGACAGCCCGACAGACAGCCCGACAGACAGACAGACAAACAGAGAGCCAGACAGACAGACAGCCCGACAGACAGCCAGACAGACAGACAGACGGCGCCCTACGTGTGTGTGGGGGGGGGGGGCCGTACCCACGCTCCGTGGCTGAACTCGTCGCGGCGTTGCCGGCACGACCCCGCGGCACTCCGCTCCGCCGGCGGGTTGCTCACCGCCAACCGTCGGGGCGCGGACAAAGTGCCGGCCGAGCCCCCCACCCCCCCGCCGGCTCCGTACGGCCCGCCGGCGGCGCCGGCGGGGGGGGGGGCGCGACAGGGAGGAGGAGGAGGCGGCGTGGCGGCGAGGCAGCGAGGTGAAGCCGTCCGGGTAGGGGGCCCCCCCCGCCGGCGCCACGGAGCTGGGCAGCGTCTGGGTGGACGCCATGCTGCGGGGGATGGAGGGGTTCAGTGCTCCTCGCTCGAGGTGTCACGGCGACAGGCCGCACCGCCCAGTGCCGCGGGGCTCACGGCCACGCGGGGCCAACCCCCCCCCCCCGTCCTCCTCCTCCCCTCCACCTCCCATCTTCACCCCCCCGCCTCCTCCACTCCCTGTCACCAATCCTCTGCCTCTACCCCCCCCTCAACTCTCTCACCAATACTTGAGCTGCTCCCCCCCCACCCCTCCTCTACCCCCCCCCCCACCGCACCCGGCGTCTCCCTCACCTCCAGCGCTCTCCCTCCTGCTGCTGCTGCTGCGAGCGCATCATCCACTTCTCCAGCTGCGCCAGGGAGCCGCGCCGCTCCCTCTCCAGCGCCAGCACCGACGCCGCCCTGTAGCCAAACCCGTCCCGGTTGAGCGCCGACAGGCCGCTGCTGCTGCCGGCAAGCCCCGTCCCGCCCGTGCTGTGCCGCTGCAGCTGCGGCTGCTGCTGCTGCTGCGGCCTCCCCCTCCTCCTTCGCCGCTCGCCGTGTGAGTGAGCGCGTGAGTGAGTGGAGTGAGTGAGTGCGTGAGTGGAGTGAGTCAGTGAGTGAGTAGAGTGAGTGAGTGAGTGGAGTGAGTGAGTGGAGTGAGTGAGTGGAGTGAGTAGAGTGAGTGAGTGAGTGGAGTGAGTGAGTGCGTGAGTGGAGTGAGTGAGTGGAGTGAGTGCGTGAGTGGAGTGAGTCAGTGAGTGAGTAGAGTGAGTGAGTGGAGTGAGTGAGTGGAGTGAGTGAGTAGAGTGAGTGAGTGGAGTGAGTGAGTGCGTGAGTGGAGTGAGTCAGTGAGTGAGTCGAGTGAGTGAGTGCGTGAACGCGTGAGTGAGTGGAGTGAGTGAGTGCGTGAGTGGAGTGAGTCAGTGAGTGAGTAGAGTGAGTGAGTGAGTGGAGTGAGTCAGTGAGTGAGTAGAGTGAGTGAGTGGAGTGAGTGAGTGGAGTGAGTGGAGTGAGTGAGTGAAGTGAGTGAGTGGAGTATGAGTGAGTGGAGTATGAGTGAGTGTATGAGTGAGTGAGTGTATGAGTGAGTGAGTGAGTGTATGAGTGAGTGAGTGTATGAGTGAGTGTATGAGTGAGTGAGTGTACGAGTGAGTGAGTGAGTGGTGTGTGAGTGAGTGAAGTGAGTGGAGTGAGTGAGTGAGTGGAGTATGAGTGAGTGTATGAGTGAGTGAGTAGTGAGTGTATGGGTGAGTGCATGAGTGAGTAGTGAGTGAGTGAGTGGTGAGTGTATGAGTGGTGAGTGAGTGTGTGTATGAGTGAGTGAATGGTGAGTGTATGACTGAGTGAGTGAAGTGAGTGAGTGGAGTGAGTGAGTGGAGTATGAGTGAGTGTATGAGTGAGTGAATGAGTGAGTGAGTGGTGTATGAGTGAGTGTATGAGTGAGTGAGTGTACGAGTGAGTGAGTGGTGTGTGAGTGAGTGGTGTATGAGTGAGTGAGTGAGTGTATGAGTGAGTGTATGAGTGTGTAAGTGAGTGAATGGTGAGTGTATGACTGAGTGAGTGAGTGGAGTGAGTGAGTGGAGTGAGTGGAGTGAGTGAGTGAAGTGAGTGAGTGAGTGGAGTATGAGTGGGTGTATGAGTGAGTGAGTGAGTGTATGAGTGAGTGTATGAGTGTGTAAGTGAGTGAGTGGTGAGTGAGTAGTGAGTGTATGAGTGAGTGAGTAGTGAGTGTATGGGTGAGTGCATGAGTGAGTAGTGAGTGAGTGAGTGGTGAGTGTATGACTGACTGAGTGAGTGAGTGGAGTGAGTGAGTGGAGTGAGTGGAGTGAGTGAGTGAGTGAAGTGAGTGAGTGGAGTATGAGTGAGTGTATGAGTGAGTGAGTGTATGAGTGAGTGAGTGAGTATGAGTGAGTGAGTGTATGAGTGAGTGAGTGAGTGTATGAGTGAGTGAGTGGTGTATGAGTGAGTGAGTGTATGAGTGAGTGTACGAGTGTGTAAGTGAGTGAATGGTGAGTGAGTAGTGAGTGTATGGGTGAGTGCATGAGTAGTGAGTGAGTGGTGAGTGTATAAGTGGTGAGTGAGTGTGTGTATGAGTGAGTGTATGAGTGAGTGAGTGGTGAGTGAGTGTACGTGTGAGTGAGTGGAGTGAGTGAGTGGAGTGAGTGAGTGAGTGGAGTGAGTGAGTGGAGTGAGTGAGTGGAGTGAAGTGAGCGAGTGGAGTGAGTGGAGTGAGTGGAGTGAGTGAGTGGAGTGAGTGAGTGAGTGGAGTGAGTGGAGTGAGTGAGTGGAGTGGAGTGAGTGAGTGGAGTGGAGTGAGTGAGTGGGGGGAGAGTCGGGGGAGAGTGGGGGGAGTGGTGGGGGGAGAGTGGGGGAAGTGGTGGGGGGAGAGTGGGGGGAGTGGTGGGGGGAGAGTGGGGGGAGAGTGGGGGGAGAGTGGGGGGAGAGTGGGGGAGAGTGGGGGGAGAGTGGGGAGAGTGGGGGGAGAGTGGGGGGAGAGTGGGGGGAGTGGGGGGGGGAGAGTGGGGGGAGAGGGGGGGGAGGGCGGGGGGAGTGGTGGGGGGAGAGTGGGGGGAGTGGGGGGGGAGAGTGGGGGGAGAGTGGGGGGAGAGTGGGGGGAGAGTGGGGGGAGAGTGGGGGAGAGTGGGGGAGAGTGGGGGGAGAGTGGGGGGAGTGGTGGGGGGAGAGTGGGGGGAGTGGTGGGGGGAGAGTGGGGGGAGAGTGGGGGGAGAGTGGGGGGAGAGTGGGGGAGAGTGGGGGGAGAGTGGGGAGAGTGGGGGAGAGTCGGGGGAGAGTGGGGGGAGTGGTGGGGGGAGAGTGGGGGGAGTGGTGGGGGGAGAGTGGGGGGAGTGGTGGGGGGAGAGTGGGGGGAGTGGTGGGGGGAGAGTGGGGGAGAGTGGGGGAGGGGGAGAGTGGGGGAGAGTGGGGGAGAGTGGGGGAGAGTGGGGGAGAGTGGTGGGAGAGTGGGAGAGTGTGGGGGAGAGTGGGGAGAGTGGGGGAGGAGTGGGGTGGGGTGGACGAGTGGGGGGTGGTGGTGTGGTGGGTGGTGGGTGTGTGGTGTGGTAGGTGGTGTGGTAGGTGGTGTGGTGGTGTGGTGGGTGGTGTGGTGGTGGTGTGTGGTGTGTGGTGCGGTGTGGTGGTGGTGGTGCGGTGTGGTGGGTAGTGTGGTGGGTGGTGTGGTGTGGTGGTGTGGTGGGTGGTGTGTGGTGTGGTGGGTGGTGTGGTCTGATGGGTGGTGTGGTGGGTGGTGTGGTGTGTGGTGTGGTGTGGTGGGTGGGTGGTGTGGTAGGTGGTGTGGTAGGTGGTGTGGTGGGTGGTGTGGTGGGTGGTGTGGTGTGTGGTGTGGTGTGGTGGGTGGTGTGGTGGGTGGTGTGGTGTGGTGGGTGGTGTGGTGTGGTGGGTGGTGTGGTGTGGTGGGTGGTGGGTGAGTGACGAGGTGGGTGGGTGGGGTGGTGGTGATTAAATGGTAAAAAATGTTTTACATTTTTATATTTTTTTAAATCTTACATCAACTTGAATTTAGCACGACAGCGGGTATCGCGTCGAGATAAACAAAAAGTCCGTAACGCTGCCGTGTAAAGGGTTATAATCTTCACTTTAAGGACCTCCACCGGGCCGCACCGAAGCCTACGGCCTCGCCTAGTTGCCCCGGCCGACGGGAGCCGCGCCTTGGCCGGCAGAAGCCTGTAGGCCGGAAGACCCCCCCCCCCTCCCCTCCTTCACGGGAATTTTTTTTTTCTCTAATCGGCGCGCATTTGTGTGTGGAAGCTTTGCGACGCTCGTGCATTGCGATTATTTATTTTACCTTCAGTTCAGCTCGAGAGAGAGAGACGGGGGGGCCGAGAGAAAAGTTGCCAAAGTCGTCGGAGGTCTCAGCAAGTCCGCGGCGATTTGATCTTTTTTATAACAATCAGCTGACAAGCCCGCGGGAACCGGATCCCTATCTCCTCACATGGGCCCATGTTAAGCAATAGGGAACCGGTTCCCATAGAAAGTCTATGGGACAATGTTAAGAGATAGGGAACCGGTTCCCATAGAAAGTCTATGGGACAATGTTAAGCAATAGGGAACCGGTTCCCATAGAAAGTCTATGGGACAATGTTAAGAGATAGGGAACCGGTTCCCTTAGAAAGTCTATGGGACAATGTTAAGCAATAGGGAACCGGTTCCCATAGAAAGTCTATGGGACAATGTTAAGAGATAGGGAACCGGTTCCCATAGAAAGTCTATGGGACAATTTCGATTTAAAGCTTTCGTGACTGCAGGGATTCATCGTCTTGGTTCTTTCGGTAAAGTCACGTAGAAGGGAAGTAATACAATGATAAAAATAAAAAAATAATAAAATAATTCTCACGACAATCATTGGAAGGACGTAATAAACCATTTCGGATCTTAACTGATTGTGTTCACGTTTACGGTGACTTTCAGACCGCGTTCCACTCACTGGCATTGTATTCTCCGCAAGGAATGGATTCTTTGCTCCGCTGCAAGTTTCCTGCCACTACTCACCCATTGACACGACGGTCAATGGTACAGTGTATAATAACAAATAGAATAACATTTATATGCTTAATACAATGTTCAAAGTAATACATAGTATCGTAATGGTATAGTGAATATATAGCAGTGTGATACACATTAGGGTGGGTAGAATAATACATAGTGTTATATTAAAATGTATAAGATGGTTTATAGCAATACAGTATATAATTAAATGTTGGGTTTGTCTATGTCAGTATATAGTACGGTGTAGATTCGTGTGATGTAAGAGAATAAAGTTTAGATGGAAGCATATTACAGTGATACCTCGGTTCACGAACGCTTCTGTTCACGAACAACTCGGTTCACGAACAGAAAAGTTCATAAAAATATGCTCCGGTTCACGAACTCCGCTTCGGTTCACGAACAGGAGCCGTGGCTATTTTTATGCTAATTCCAGGCTGTCACGTGGTCGTGACTTCCTGTAGGAAGATCGTGGAGAGAAGAAGAGACGCAGAAAGAAGTACTGTGAGTACTGTGAAGACACTTTCAGTGACTTTTTGCTTTTTGGTGTGCTTTTTAGCACATACAGTACTGTACTACTGTACTGTACAATACTGTACTTACTGTATTGTACAGTTCACCCGTTTGAGTGCTGAAGTCATCTTAAGCAAGGTTAGTGTTCTCTCTTTATACATTACTATACTGTACAGTACTAATGTGTATTGTAATTTGTTTCATATTTTTGTGCTTCAAACACCAAAAAAAAATGTCAGAACGGATTAACCGGATTTACATTGAACCCTGTGGGAAAATGTGCCTCGGTTCACGACCAATTCGGTTCGCGACCAGAGTCAGTTCACGAATTAAGTTCGTGAACCGATGTATCACTGTATATAAATTTTTACGACGTAGAATTGTATTACTTACTGTTAGTAACTCAGCTTATTGTAGAGTATAGTTAGTATACTGATGATACTATGTAGTTTATACTTTAGTTGTTTACGTGGTTTAGTTACTGCAGCTACATACTATTAACATTCCTTCCTTTTATTAATGTTACCCCTATCCCTTTGATACTGCTAATCCTGCATAATGCACGGGCATAATGACTTTAAACACCCCGCCAAATCTCCTACGCATTTCACAAGTAGTACTAATCGCATATCTGCATGTCCCATAAATATGCTAAATTCCCCTTGATATGCAAATTATTTTGTCAAGACGCTCTTCGCCCCTCCATCCCAGCTTAAATAGACGCGCCAAGCCTGGGGTGTGTCATTCAGACGCTGTCTTCTCGACAGACCTGTTCTCCACCTGAGGACGGCTGCTTGCGTTGTGGCCGAAACGTCGTGAGAATTATTTTATTGTTTTATTTTTATTATTTTATTATTTCCATTCTACGTGACTTTACCGAAAGAACCAAGAAGACGGTCGGTGCCAGTTAAAAGGCAATGAGCGTAGAAGTGCAGTACAACACCGAATTGTGCTGTACTGCCCTCTGCTGCCTAACGCCATGTCTGTATTTGCTGAAGTATCAACTGTAAAGCATTAAAAACCCCACTCATCCTTGGGTTAAGTCGTACCATCTCATTGGTGGTGCAGGCCTGCGATCCAACGCCTTGCAGGCAAGGGTTTGTGGCCAGCGCAGAGATTTGTTAGATCCCGCCCCTCTGCGCAGTAGCCAGCAGATGGCAGTGCGGCAGTGTTGGTGAGACCCGTTATGTGTGTACCTTGTAACTGTTATACTGGTAGGAACCTCCTGGTTACACCAGCCCACAGGAGATTATTGTGTCCGTCGTGCAGGGAGGAGCTGGGTAGGGAGGGAGGGGAGGGGCTGGGTGGGGAGGGGCTGGTCACCCCGTGGTGCCCTTATAAAACTCGACGTTTAACCTACTCACGCCAGCTTGTGCCCGGCCTCACAGTCGGGCATATTTGCGGAATACACCACGCCGCCGTTGACCCTGCAGGCCATTGAGCGAGCAACCCACCGTGTTCCTACCAGCTCCCTCCGCAGCAGGACGAGGTGTTCGTGAACATCTTTGATGGGTTTCCTCTGGGCACTCCAGTTTCCTCCCAACACGGAAGCCCAACCGCCCCCCCCCCTTCTTCGTAAAATGAAATTGGCCAGGACCCTTTCTGAAAAAGTGGTACTGAGACCCGTTGAGGCTTTACCGGATAAACAAGTGACATTGTTTTAATTATAACACACAACTCCGGCGGTACTCCGTTAACGAAACCCGTCAGTCAATATTTTTGAATACCGCCCTACTTATCAGAAACAAGCTTACTTTGTTTAACACACCAGTGACCGCATAGCTGTACCTTCCAGGGTTGCAGTCTTCCCATCTTAGCCCCTCCCCAACCTCTTGCTAAAGACCCCAACCAATGTCCTTGTGCACTCCTCGGATCTCTTTCCACCCACGCAGTGTGGCTTATCTTGCAGTCGGTCCCAGCAATCTCATCATCTCGGTCTCCTCTCAAAGCTCTTCCCCCCAATCGTCCTCCGTTGCATCAGAGTATTTGTGTCTTCTGATGTCCCTCGGTAGGTGTACCGCCTAACTCCATTTCAGTCGCAGTATTCTCACTTCAAAAATTGCATTTCTGAATCTCTTGGTTTTTTATTCTCAAATAATGTCTTGATTGGTCCCCTTTGTTTCATTCAAAGTCGTCCATATTACATTGCTCTCTGGTACTCTTGTACATTGCTTATTCTTCAGGAAGGGGCCACGTTTTCTGGCGTGGTACAATGCAATCGTGCGTGAGTTCAACTCCCTGCCGTGTTGCTGTTTGGTTCAACTGCGGCGCGCGTGTTCCATGTCGCGTCCCACGTTCTTTGCTCCAGCAGAAGCGCCCGGCACGTTGGGAGCAAAACAGAATCTGAATATTTATCCTGGAGGAATCCAATGAGCCATGAAGCTAGGAACATGACATCACCGCGCAAGCGTGGCACAAGAAATAAAACGTTCTGTCAAGCTACTGACGACACGAACACCCGAAGCACATCGAAGAAGCTACTCGGCACACACAACCGCAAGAACAAACGCAGGATTCATATACGGGTTTCCGTTTATTTTATTTTTTTAAACCCCCCCTTTCCCTCCGTGATATTTCGCCCTCAAAAGTCCCCCTGCATAAATAACCGACGACGATGGGGGGGGGGGGGGAAGAGTTGTGTACGGAACCATCAATCCCGCTACATTTCACAGCTCAGTGAGAGCAGTGGTGAGGGGAGAACAGGTCCCTGGTAGAGAGGACCCTGGACCCCAATCTCTACTGCCCTTCTAAGGGCTGTAGAGATTGGTGAGACCGGTGGCGAGGGGAGAACAGGTCCCTGGTAGAGAGGACCCTGGACCCCAATCTCTACTGCCCTTCTAAGGGCTGTAGAGATTGGTGAGACCAGTGGCGAGGGGAGAACAGGTCCCTGGTAGAGAGGACCCTGGACCCCAATCTCTACTGCCCTTCTAAGGGCTGTAGAGATTGGTGAGACCGGTGGCGAGGGGAGAACAGGTCCCTGGTAGAGAGGACCCTGGACCCCAATCTCTACTGCCCTTCTAAGGGCTGTAGAGATTGGTGAGACCGGTGGTGAGGGGAGAACAGGTCCCTGGTAGAGAGGACCCTGGACCCCAATCTCTACTGCCCTTCTAAGAGACCCACGAACCAGGTCGGGTCAGGTAGCCTCCCCTAGGTCCCAGCCGGAGGACGATAGGTTAGCGGGTGACGGGTGTTAGGTCCCGCAGAGTCCGGAGGCCGCACCTCCCCAGGTAGCGGGTCCGTTATACCCCTTGTGTGTGTGTGTGTGTGCTAGGGACCGTGTCGAGAAAAGACTATAAACATTGTGTTGCCTCGCAGAAGTTTACACGACAATAACAACAACACCACAGACGTAGGCGACGCGAGCGCCTTTCCACGCGCAGCCGAGCGAGTTACTTGGCCATACTTGACCACACTGGCCAAGAAGAGCAGCAACACGGGGGAGGGTGTGGCACTGCCCACTGCCGCCCACCAAAAACAAAGATTCCCCGTATAGCATCAACAGACTGTTGGGGCAAGTGCGAGCCCCAATTTGAAGGCCGGAACAGCACACGGTGGGGGTGGGTGGCTAGGTTCCCCCCTCCCTCCCCCGTATCCGTAGCTCTGTCGCCGCTCGATGGCTACCAGCGGTTCATTAGAACCGCGTCTCTCTTCTCGCTGGTGGCGGCAATTGATCACGCGCCCTCAGTCACGTGCTTGTGCGGCGCTGCACAAGCAGCAAATGGCAAAAACCTCGACACGTTCGTCATTGACACCGCCCCTCAAGTGACAAAACAAACACATTTCGAGCAGCGCTCTTCCTCGTAGCGGTGTGACCTCTCACCAGCTCTGCAGTGCCGTAAACATCCGCTACGAAGAAGGGGCCATTGCCCAAAGACTCAGCATTGCCACCCACAGACTCAGCACTGCCACCCATAGACCATCATCCCAACAATCATTATCATTAGCCCAACCACCATCATCATCACCACAACAACCATCATCACCACCATCCCAACAACCATCATCATCATCACCACAACAATCATCACCATAACCACCACCACAACCACCATCATCATCATCACCATCACCACCACAACCACCACCATCATCATCATCACCAAAACCACCATCATCATCACCACCAAAACCACCATCAGCAGGTTATGATGGTGAATAGGTAATGATGATAATGGTGGTGAGGCGGAGCTGGTGAGGAGGGTACCGTGACGCTGGCAGTGTGTAGCAGCGCGCTGGGTGAAGGCGGGGATGTCTGTAACTACGATGATGGTGGCGGTGAGGAGCTGGTGAGGAGCTGGTGAGGAGCTGGTGAGGAGGGTGATGTCTGGGTGCCGTCGCAGGAAAGTTGAGATCAGTGAGCTGATGTCGCAGGGGGAGGCTCCCAGCGTCTGAGACACACGGGGAGAGACACACGGGGAGAGACACACGGGGAGAGACACACGGGGAGAGACACACGGGGAGAGACACACGGGGAGAGACACACGGGGAGAGACACACGGGGAGAGACACACGGGGAGAGACACACGGGGAGAGACACACGGGGAGAGACACACGGGGAATCACTCGTTTATTTAGAGCCAATACCTCACGTCACCCCACGTGACCCCACGTGACCCCCACGTTGACCCCCCACGTGACCAGGGAGAGAAAGACAGGAACATTGAGGACGCGAGGGACTTCCAGCTGGTGCTGCCCTGCACGTGACCCCCACGTGACCCCGTGTGACCCCACCAGGGAGAGAAAGACAAGAACATGGAGGACGTGAGGGACTTCCAGCTGGTTCCACAACAAAACGTGGACGTGGCACGATCTCGCCATGGCCATCAAGAGGGACAGCCGCAAGGCACTGCTGGCACAAGTGGGGGGGGGGGGGGGCACGGTGGGTGGGTGGGCACGGGTGGGTTGGTTGGTGGGTTAGTGGGCAGGATGGGTGGGGATCGAGAGTGGAGGTTGGTGGGAGTCTCCCCATGTGTCTCTCTCTCTCTCTCCCGCGTGTCTCTCTCTCTCCCCGCGTGTCTCTCTCTCTCCCGCGTGTCTCTCTCTCTCTCCCCGCGTGTCTCTCTCTCTCCTCCCGCGTGTCTCTCCTCTCCCCGCGTGTCTCTCTCTCTCCCGCGTGTCTCTCTCTCCCCGGTGCTCTCTCTCCCCGCGGTCTCTCTCTCTCTCCCGCGTGTCTCTCTCTCTCTCCTCCCGCGTGTCTCTCCTCCCCCGCGTGTCTCTCTCTCTCTCCCCGCGTGTCTCTCTCTCTCCCCGCGTGTCTCTCTCTCTCCCGCGTGTCTCTCTCTCTCCCCACGTGTCTCTCTCTCCCCGCGTGTCTCTCTTCTCCCCGCGTGTCTCTCTCTTCCTCCCGCGTGTCTCTCTCTCTTCCTCCCGCGTGTCTCTCTTCTCCCCGCGTGTCTCTCTCTCTCTCCCCCGCGTGTCTCTCTCTCTCCTCCCGCGTGTCTCTCTCTCTCCCCGCGTGTCTCTCTCTCTCTCCCGCGTGTCTCTCTCTCTCCCCGCGTGTCTCTCTCTCTCCCCGCGTGTCTCTCTCTCCCCGCGTGTCTCTTCTCCCCGCGTGTCTCTCTCTCTCCCCGCGTGTCTCTCTCTCTCTATCCCCGCGTGTCTCTCTCTCTCTCTCCCGCGTGTCTCTCTCTCTCTCCCCGCGTGTCTCTCTCTCTCCCGCGTGTCTCTCTCTCTCTTCCCCGCGTGTCTCTCTCTCTCTCCCGCGGTCTCTCTCTCTCTCCCCCGCGTGTCTCTCTCTCTCTCTCTCCCCGCGTGTCTCTCTCTTCCCGCGTGTCTCTCTCTCTCCCGCGGTCTCTCTCTCTCTCTCCCGCGTGTCTCTCTCTCTCTCCCGCGTGTCTCTCTCTCTCTCCCGCGTGTCTCTTCTCTCTCTCCCCGTGTCTCTCTCTCTCCCCGCGTGTCTTCTCTCTCTCCCCGCGTGTCTCTCTCTATCTCTCCCCGCGGTCTCTCTCTCTCTCCCCCCGCGTGTCTCTCTCTCTCTCTCTCTCCCCGCGTGTCTCTCTCTCTCCCCGCGTCCCTCCGTGGCTCTCCCCGCGTGTCTCTCTCCCCGTGTCTCTCCCCGTGGGGAGATGAGAGGGAGGGGGGGAGATGGGGGGGGGGATGAGAGGGAGGGGGGGGGATGAGAGGGAGATGAGTGGTGGTGGTGGTGCTGTGTGGTGGCGGTGGTGCTGTGTGGTGGTGGTGGTGGTGCGTGGTGGTGGTGGTGGTTGTGGTGGTTGTGGTGGTGCTGCGTGGTGGTGGTGGTGCTGTGTGGTGGTGCTGCGTGGTGGTGGTTGTGGTGTGTGGTGGTGGTGCTGCGTGGTGGTGGTTGTGGTGCTGTGTGGTGGTGGTGGTGGTGCTGCGTGGTGGTGGTGCTGTGTGGTGGTGGTGGTGCTGTGTGGTACTGTGTGGTGGTGGTGCTGTGTGGTGGTGGTGCTGTGTGGTGCTGTGTGGTGGTGGTGCTGTGTGGTGCTGTGTGGTGCTGTGTGGTGGTCAGGGTTGCGATTTCCGCATGGAAAATGCGGAAGGAGGGTTCAAATTTTCCCGCATTTTTGCTAAAGTCAACCGCAAACGGTGGAAAGACTACTCCTATGACCGCGCGCTTTTAACAACACGTTAATGCGTTCTATTGGAAAGGATACATGCAAGGCCCAGCATCACGTAGGGCTTTGAGTTACTGATTGGAATGAATATATGATTTCCGCATTTCCGCACAAGAACCACATACTTTATTCAAATGCGGAGCCGTGATTACGAGCACATGTACTTTCACTTCTTCGCATTCTTCCAGCGCTTCATGTCGTCTTCGGCGTGAAAGATGCTGAGTTTTGGCTTGT